GGGGGGGGGAGGAGAAGAGAAGGGAGGAGGGGGAAGGGAAGATGGAGAAAAAAAAAAAAGATGAAGGAGGAATGAAGGACAGGGAAGGAAAGGATGAAAGAGGTCGAAATAGGGAAACGCAGAAGAGAGAGAGGAGAAGAAAGGAATGAAGAGGAAGGTGAGAAGGACGGATGCAATGTGGGAGAAAATGAAAAGGGGATGAAGGACCTCGCTCCATTGCACAACATTCGAAACTGTATCATGCCCTCTACTCGTCCCGATACATTAGAAATGTTCGAACGGTCCGAATGTATATGGTCCATATTGCTTTCCAGATACGTGGCTAATGCTGACTACTGTAGCGGAGCGAGGGTGGACAAAGCCAAAGCAAGAGGAACCGGAGGAGGATGCAGAAGGATGAAGACGAAGGGAGGAGGGGAAGGAAGGAGGGAAAAGAAAGGAGAAGGTGAACACAAGTCCTTTTAATATTTAATACTTCAATAAAAATAATATAAAATCTATCTAAGAAAGTGGCGGCGATTGAAGGGTGAACAACGGAAGAAGAGAATGAAGGGAGGAAGGGATATGGAGTGGAGATCCGAAGGCAGCAGATGTGAAAAATCAAATGTCTTTTCATTTTCAAAGTTGTGGCGATCAATAGAGAGAAAGTCAAGAAAAAAAAAAACGCTCTCAGGAAAAAGGCGGAGTGACATCCGAAGCAGGCAGATGGACAGCGATTTGTCGAAGGACAAAAGTGGGGGTAGGGAGATGCAGGAGGAGGAAGGATGCTTAAGGCATAAGCGGGAAAAAGTTTAGTTGCCTTTTTTTTTTCTTATACCTTTTTTTTTTCCCCCAAACTTTCACTTACAAGAGGCCGGGGACCTCACAATTCAACCCGGAGTTATCCCGGCAGCATCAGCCGGTTTCGCTTATAGACTTTGTTCCTGATCCTGATCGACGTAAAACGCCTTCACTCTGTCTTGAAAGTTGGCTCAGTACGTTAATACCTTTCTTTTAACCTTTCTGTTAAGCTTTTTTTAATTATACCTTTCTTTTAGCCTCTTTTTAAAAACTTTTTTTAAACCTCTTTTTCACCCTTTTTTTAATACCTTTTAAGTTTTTTTTTCACCTTCTTTTTACGTTTTTTTAACCCTTTTTTTCAACCTTTTATTTAACCCTTTTTCTTAAAACGTTTTTTTTAACCTTTTTTATTTGAAAGTGGCTATGTATAAGAGAAAGACGAGAAAAATGAAATTGCTGTTAGCAGATGGATGGGAATTTTTTTGATGAGCGGAGTTTTCCCTTCGCTTGACAAAACACATTGACAGGGAACCTTGATGGATATTGAGCTTTTCTTTTCGGTTCTTTTCTGTGTTTTTTTTTTTTTTTTTTTTTTTCCGTTCCTTCTTTCAACAAAAATCCAGCATCGCATTCCTTTCCCCCTCCCCTCTCCTCCACCGTCCCGCCTGCACTCTTTTAAAAAAAAATATTTCGACCTTTTTTTTTTATAAATGAACACTATCAATTAATAGCAAATATGCTGGTTAGTCAGTCGAGGCGGGGAGCCTCATCAAAACCCGGAAGTGAGCAGAGTGCTCAGACAGACTTTGTGCGCGAGATCCACTACACAAGACTCGACACTCATTTGGACGGTTTCTAGACCCGATACCGTCCGAATGCACCTGGTCCAGAAGGCGTCCAAATGCATGTAGTGTGTTGTAGTGGAGCGAGGCCCTGTGTGCGCGAGATCCAACAAATCCTTGTCTGTGTATAAACCCTGCTCCTCGTCCTGCGTGCAAGGATATGAGTTCAAACCCAACTTTTTTTTTTTTTTTTTTTTTAATAAACAACATCCCTACCAGTGATAGTGGTGCTGATAAGAGCAGACACCACTAGCACCTGGGGAATGGCTCCATCTATTGGTGGGGAGCATCACCTGCTGGAAAACGGATCCAGCGTCCCTTATACAATTGATTTTTGAAACATGTCTGATTTAGTTTCCATCTATCTCGTTCTAACCTCTACAACTTCCGCACCAATTTTTCTAGCTATAACTTTTCGGACAAGTTTCGTCGAACCTGACCTGGTTTTCACACTAGGTTCTCACCTGACCTGGTTTTCGTACCRGTTCCGACCTGACCTGATTTCCAAACCACGTTCTGTCCACGTTCACTTGCTTTCATATCAGGTTCTACCCTGATTTTTCTGACCTGGTTTTCAAACCGGGTTCTGACCTGGGTTTGAATTCCAGGTTCTGTTGTTGYTCATGTTTTTTTTTTGCTACCTTCTGTTTTTTTTTGTTAATTCGTTTTCWTTGAAATTYCTCGTTGTGTGGATGGCCGTTGGCTCAGTGGTTAGAGCACCGGTTGGAAATGCGCATTGTGGTATGAGGTTGCGGGTTCTGGTTTTCACACTAGGTTCTCACCTGACCTGGTTTTCGTACCAGTTCCGACCTGACCTGATTTCCAAACCACGTTCTGTCCACGTTCACTTGCTTTCATATCAGGTTCTACCCTGATTTTTCTGACCTGGTTTTCAAACCGGGTTCTGACCTGGGTTTGAATTCCAGGTTCTGTTGTTGTTCATGTTTTTTTTTTGCTACCTTCTGTTTTTTTTTGTTAATTCGTTTTCATTGAAATTTCTCGTTGTGTGGATGGCCGTTGGCTCAGTGGTTAGAGCACCGGTTGGAAATGCGCATTGTGGTATGAGGTTGCGGGTTCATAACTCCGAAGCTCTTTCATACCGCACAACCCATTCACACACCCTGCCTGGGACCACCCCCGTTGGGAGCACGCATGGTAAGATTTATACTGGCACTTCCTGGGCACTGCCTAAGGGGTCTAGGTCCATGGTTGTAGTATGCTGGATTGGGCCATAGGGAGGGCTGCTTGAGTGCTTCAGCTTAGTGGGTCTGAGGATCAGGTCTTATCTTGGCTCCAGCATGGTGGTGGGGGGTTGGGGGGGAAAGGGATAGGTTAGGGTAGATCAAAAGTGGAGGGTTTACTGCCTAGACTGTCGATACCCAAAAAACTGCTGAAAACTGTTTTAACCGTTGATACCTCTGAGTGACCACTTGGACCCTCTGATCTGTCAGTCTCGTCAGTATGTACTACTAGTCCGCGGGGGTGCCATGGTCGAGCCTGGGTACAGCCAGTATGTTGCCTGGGTAGCCAGTATGTTTCTCGTCACTATGGCACCCAGATGAGAGTCCACACAGAGGGAACTTAGACTAAGGTATGCTCACACTGGGTGTTAGCATGGGACAGGTACTGGGTACTTGTCATCCCACAGGTATCTCACGATGCCTGTGGGTGGTGCTTCATCCAGGCTGGGGTCCGTGGGAAATCTCATTGGGGGAATTAGTTGGCATTGTGGATTCTTGGGGACCCTTGGGTAGCCATGCTTAGGATAGGGGAGGGCAGGATATTGCATCTTAGTGGAAGGGCGGTTTGCTGCCATATTGTCTGTGGGATGAGGCACAGATGGGGAATGACTGCATATGCATGGACCCCACCCGCAGGCACAGAAGGGTGGTGTCTGCACCCGGTAAGCAGTGGCGCAGATCAGGACTTGTTATTGCATCTTGGTGGAAGGGCAGTTGGCTGCCCATAGAGTCTGCGGGATGAGGCAAAGATGGAGGATGACTGCATATGCATGGAGCCCACCTGTGCCCGGGTCGTCCTTAACATTAGAGTTAGGGTAGTGTCTGGACGAAGGCGCTCGGGTCAGTCCAGTAAGCGTTGGTGCAGATCACGACTTGCAATCTGACCATTAGCATAGGTCATGGTATCATGTTGCCATCTTTTTTTTCTTTTTCTTTTTTTTTTTTTTTGGGAACAAGGCTCCAATCTATTCGTGGGGAGCAACACGTGCTGGGAACAGGTGACTCCCCCTGGGTCCCTGCAATCCATCTGACCTCCCAATGGATGAGTACTATGGGCACCTCCTGAGGCCTGGCCACTACCCTCTACTACACCCTGGACCTTTTTTTATAAAAATGAATCCCCCCCCCCGTTGTCGTAACCTGGCTTGTACACCAGGTTCTGGTTCTAACCTGGTTTTCAACTGGCATTCTTTCTAACCCCCGTTTCACTAACCCCCGTTCACCAACCCCCATTTCACTAACCCCCGTTTCACCAACCCCCGTTTCACTAACCCCCGTTTCACACTGGGTTCTAATCCTCGTTTCAAATGCTTTTGTGCCTGCCTGAGTTACCAGAAGGGCCACTTGTGATGCGCAACCTCACACCCTGCATGGCATTTCGTATCGAGGGACACCAGATCAGAGTAATTGGGGGTGTGGTGGAGGATTTTAGGCAAGGGTTGAATCTGTGGCGAACTACTTTCCATGAACGCGAGACTTTCTGCACAGCTGTATTTCGGGGGTTAATTGGGAAGGGCCTGCCCAACTACATGAATGCCCCCATCCTTTGGAAAGAGGCTGGTCCCTCGACGGTTGGTGATTGATCGCGCCTTAGCGAGCACGGAAATAACTGTTGCCATAGCTTCTTTCTTGTTCTGCTGGGGGGAGGGAAATTTTGGCGTGATCAGAAATCCTTTTTTTTTTTTAATTCAAAATACGAGGAGTTACGGGAATAAGGACTTTGGTTGATTTAGGAATTAGGGGTGTCGTAATTTGTCACCGACTTTTGTCGCAGTAACCGCACGGTGCTTCCTACTTGTGCGCACATTACTGCGTCCTGTCTTGGGCTTTGCCCCCGCCGCGCCTAAATTCTAATCGCGACTGAAATCTCTTCTTGCTCCTTCTTGGCAAACGCAGATGTAACTGTAATCCTCTCACTTCTTGATCTCTTCTCTTTTTTGCCGCGCGGAGTTTCTTTGCGCCTCTTTCCCGTCTATCTCATTGGCCCGCAGGTGCATGACTGGATCGATGCGTGGAGAGCGGCTACATCCCCCACGCCGCGGCCCCATCATGCACCCGTAGGCACTCCCTCCTCCTTTCTACTTCCCGCTTCAGCATAATCCGGGATTACCTCGCGCACCTACCGACTGCTATAAAGCTTGCAAGCGCGACTAATTCGCTCTTTAATCTACACTTGGGAGTTAGCGCGGTCGAGAGGATCGGCTAACAGGCGGCAACAGAGAGGTGAGTAGGAAGTTGGGCGATCCGACGAGCTAGTGCTGGGTATGCGGGGTTGACATGTGGGTGCGAAGGACTGTGGCACACGGGCAAGCTTGGACTAAGCAGGATGACAACTTCGGGCTGTTGGTGGGTGCGAGGCGACGGACTGCGGACCGTGGCACACGGGCAAACCTGGCTTGCATACTCGGACTAAGCGGGACGACAACATCGGGCTGTTGGTGGGTGCGAGGCGATGGACTGCCCACATTCTAGGAACTTTGAGAGAGAGAGGGCGCAGTGTGTTGAAGTGGGGCTATTTCTTTGCATCTTGTGTAATTTTGATCTTTGGTTTCGGCCATTTTCATTTACGACACTGTTGGACTTTTCTTTCTTTTCTTTCATTGATGTATGAAGCATGTTCCCCTCCCCCATCCTG